CAGCTTCCAAGCTTAATTGTCTGTCAAGAGCCAGAATAAATGAGCTGGAAAAAAAAAAGCAGAGCCAGAGGTGTTTTACAAGTCACCCACAAGGTGGAAGGAGGAAGCCAACAAAATTGTCCCTTCCCTCTGAGGGAAACAGCGAACCTACATACTGATAAAATGGGAAAAATTATTACTCTTCCATGTAGGGGTGAGAGTCACCATTTTTGAAGCTACCATTTTAAATAAACTAAGGTGGTAGTAATAATATTTGTTCAAACTTTGCTTCCAACAGGGGTCAGACAGACTTAGCTTTCATTCAATTGAAGAGATGTCAGGAGCACCAAATAGATTCAAGTTTCCCTAGAATCCTAGACAAAGTGGGTCTGTTTCTTAGCTGTCGACAGGAGGCTACTTTCCAGATGTTATATTTAGCATAAAGGAATCTCCAACACAGCTTCATGCAAAATATATAGTATGCCCCAGTAGGTATAACCACAAACCAGAGGGTCAGCAGGGAGTATCCTTAAGAGGGTTCAGCAGCATAGAGGGGCCAATTGTGTAGCCAAATTGACAACCCAAACCAGTTGAATTAGCTATGAGCCTGATTCTTCTCTGTACCTCATATTTAATGAGCCTTTGTTTCCCTTCTTCCTAGCAACACTATACATGGGGAAGAAAACATGCTGCCTATTTCACGACAACTCTGAACTTCTAGCCCACATCATGTAAAAGTAACAACAGAGTTAATGTTTTGGGGAGGCTTGTGTACAAAAGAAAATGTTAGTCCTACTTTCTAGATCCAATGGCAAAGAGAAAGGCCTCTTCCTTGCACACCACAGCTACAGCTTCCTGAGAGGACGTGTCGATGAAAGCACGAGCTCTAGATCCAGATGACAGGAATAAACTACCAGCCTCAATGCATCTTTGCTTAATGTCTTCAAGCCTTAGTTTCCTCTTTTATAAAGAGATAATATTAATAACTACAAATACATTGTAAGTATTAAAGGTGATAATATATGTGAAAATGTTTAGCACAATACTCGGCACATATAGATGATTTTTTCTTTATCACTACACTTTATAGACTAGCATCAAAACATAGCCATCCTCAGTAAAATCAGAAATAAAAGTACCTTTACTGAAGCCAGTGTCTGTGAAGAAATTGATTTTATTTTTGCTACTAGATACAAATTTAATTGATTTTATTTTTTGCTAATGCAAATTTACTGGTAAAACAAAAGACACTATGCTACGATTCCACTGTGCTACGTCTTGGTTGCTGGTCACTATAAGAGCCTCTGAAATTATGCGTCCTTCCTCAACAAATGTGGCCTTTCTACTGCATAAGTCAGCTCGCTGTATACTTACACTCCACTTGTATTTGTCTTTATCTCAGGGTCTACAACCTTTCAGAAGAAATCTATAGTGTAGGACGGAGGTACCATGAAGATTTATAACCCAAATTGTTTTTTTTTCTGGGGGAGGGGGGATGTTGTTTCTATCTTTAGAGAACTGAAGCATATAATGAAGTTCAGGTCTTGAGCTCAGTTTCTCAAAGTTAGCAGCAGATCCAGCATGAGAAAGGTCCCTTGGATAAGATCTCTGATCTTATTCATCTTTTATGAAGCACAAAGCATCATAAAACAGAAAAGATGGTCTCTTATCTGATTTCTATCTTTATCAGTGGAGGTCTAATTCTTCAGGTGCAATAGACTCTACACAAGATAGCAAAAAGCTGGCTGAAGAATGTGTTTTTGCCTAGAACTAGAAAGCAGAAAGGCTCTCACCCAATTCAAACAGAATGAGTCTTTTCTTATCTAATAGACAACTTTGTAGAGAGTTCTTTCCATTCACTTGGACCCCAAGGGGAAGAGAAAAGAGATTTTAGAATAATAAACACTGGCCATTCCATAATCCTATTTATATCTCTAATTAGTAATAATATATTGAAACCAAGTTACAACAACCAAGAAACAGTCTTATGATCTGCATTTATACAATTAAAATTATAATATGCTTAAAGACAATAATGAGAGAAACCAGGCCAAGTCTATAATACTGCATGATTCTATTCATACAAAATATGAATCTATGCACAACCAAAGTTTGCTATTAGAAATAAGTGTGTGGCTGCTCCTAAGGCATCTGGAATTGGGAAAGGAAGATAAGTCTTTTGGAATACTGAAATGTTTTGTTTCCTGATCAGGGAGCTGGTTGCATATGTATTCTGTTTGTGAAAATGTACTAAGCTACAAACTTATCATATGTTTGCTTTTCTTCTATGACAGTGGTTCTCAACCCAGGGTTGAATGACCTTTACAGGGGTCATTTAAGACCATCAGAAAATATAGATATTTACAATACAATTCCTAACAGTAGCAAAATTACAGTTATAAAGTAGCAATGAAAATAATTTTATGGTTAGGATCACCACAACATGAGGAACTATATTAAAAGGGTGCAACATTAGGAATGTTGAGAACCACTGTTCTATGAAGTATCATAAACAATCTTCAGAATTTTTCTTTACATCATCAATATAAGAACACAGCTTACAGAGGTCAACCTTGAGGTCCTGGTTAGTAATGTTATTAATGGAAAGATTTTTCTTTCTAGAGGTTAACATGCCCCAGATCTCTGGTGAAATGTAGATGGGTACTTGAGGAGCCAGGAATACTAGTAGCTTTGATATCTGGCTATTGCTACCACAGACTTCTCTGAGATGTGGACAGGCTACAAATCTCTCTCAGCTAATTTCTCTCTATGATGAAGAATGTCCCCCATAGTCTTGGACATTTGAGCACTTGATCCCCAGCTGTTGGTGCTATTTGGGATGTTTAGGTGCTGCAGCCTTGCTGGAGGAACTAGTCATTGAGGTGTGCTTTGAGAGCAAAGCCTCACTCCACTTCCAATTTAATCTCTGCTTCACACTTGCATGAGATGTGAGTTCTCAGCTCCCTGCTCCTGCCACCACTATGCCTGATGTCTACTGCCATGACTCTCCACCATCATGGACTCTTATTGCTCTACAACCATATGTCCAATAAGCCCTTCTTTCTATAAAGTGCCTTTCTCCATATTGTTTTATCATAACAACAGAAAAGGAACTAATATACTCCAAGACTAGAAGAAAAGGAAGCCAACAGACTGCCCCAAATTGAGTTAGGCAAACACCTCTCATGGAAGTACTGTTCTCAGATGAACAGAGAAAATGAAGGCAGAAACCACCAGTTTTGCAGGGCCGTTTAAAACAGTCTAAACAAGCTGGGTGGTGGTGGCACACACCTTTAATCCCAGCACTCAGGAGGCAGAAGCAGGCGGATCTCTGTGAGTTCGAGGCCAGCCTGGTCTACAAGAGCTAGTTCCAGGACAGATAGGACTATTACACAGAAGAAACCCTGTCTCAAAAAAAGATAATCTAAGCAGGTATCAAGGTCACAAAGAGCAAAAGAGCTGAGAGTCCATCTAAAAAAGTTATTTGAGTCACAGAAACATACATTACTGTGTGTTACAGAGAAGATGCTGGAAACCAGAGAGATGGCACTAAGTGCCCCGAACAGCAGGGTCACAATAGACTGTCAGTGAGTGTTGACAGGAGTTACCTTTCCCTCTTTTTCAGATGTTATACCCTCAATACCCCACCTCTAAACACAGAGACTGCCTCTTCATAGATGCAGTTAAATACAGAATCGTACTCAGTCTTTTGTTCAGGACAGTAAAAATGGAAGAAATCCTGTACTACTTCCAAGTCTAATCAAACCTGAAACACTGTCCAATGTTAAAAACTAGGAAATTGATTAAGAGCTACAACCACATCAATGACAATTCTGATTATTAAACTATTTTCTCACTTAGCCTCTAATCTTAATATTGGATGTTGTCATCTAGAAGTCAGCAAATAAATAGCTGTATATAATCTCTCCCTGTAACATTCACTTTCTGGAAATTCTCTGGGGAATGTCAGACATGGTATATGTGATGGTCTGAATAAGAATGGCTCCCAGAAGCTCATAGATTTGCATGCTTGGTCATTAGGGAGTGGCACTTCTTGAGCGGATTGTTGGAGTAGATTTGGCCTTTTTGTAGAAAGTATGTCATTGGGGGTGGGCTTCATGGTTTTAAAAGACCAAGTCAGTCCTAGACTCTTTATTTTCTTGCTGTCTGGATTTGGATGTTGGCCTCTCAGCTACTTCTCCAGCACCATGTCTGCCTGTGTGGCGCATGTTCCCTACCAGATGAAAATGGACTAAATCTCTGAAACTATAAGCAAGCTCCAATTAAATATTTTCTTTTATAAAAGCTGTTGTGGTTATGGCATCTTTTCACAGAAATACAACACTGATTTAGACTACTATTTTGTACAGTATTCAGGGTCTCTGCTAGCATTTATAACCAAGTCTCATGAAAGAATGACTCCACTGAGAGCTTAAGAAAGGGGGGTTCCTGAGGTCCCAAGAGGCTAGTTCCAGTACTAATAGGAAAAGGGGTATTTGACAAAAAGGTCTTAAGTTTATGACAATTATTTTCAGCTTTTCCTTGGTCAAATTTCTCAATCTATATGCAATAAATTAAGTAACAATCAAGTTTCAGAAAGCAGTAAGGTGTCCATTCTGAGAATAACCAAATCCTGGAGTCCAACTGGCTAAGACAGAAGTTAGAAAGAAAACTAAATTCAAAATATAAACAATAGGAATTAAGATGAGGAAAACACAACACTAAAGATCCCTAGGTCCCAAGAGTTTCGCGAAGCACAAAGGAAGCTCCCAGAACAGTATCAGTACAAAAAGCTTATGGCTAATAGTGCTGATCCACTACTGTCTTCCCAGGATTATCAATTCAGCTTAGAAGGTTAAAACGTTTGCCACTTCAAATATTCTTTTTCTTTAAGACTATGTGGTATATAATGGTCAATGGAAAACCTGCTACGTGAACGAAAGTATTTTTTCTCTTATTTACAAAGCCGTGCCACTGCTCCAGCCAAGAACCTTTGTGACTAGGGACATATATCCATATACCTTTTTAAAGAGTCTTCCTGAGTCCTCGCTGACTTGAACAAATCGAGGAATTATATTATTCAAGTAGATGTCACTCAGGGTGGTATGATCCCTGCTCTCCCGCTTCACCTGGTTTAAGAGGAGGTTCCAGCAGTTTACTGGAGAGAGGACATTCTGGTCTTTCCTGCAGAGAAATGGAAGAAAAAAAATTAAGTGTTAGTAAGCAGGCAGGGCCAGCAGCTATGATGATAGTACATATCACAAAAACCACAGTAATCAAAGCAGAAGCAGAAACAAGGCTATCTTCCCTAAAGCCTACTGCTATGATTTGAATGGGAAATGCTCCCTGCCCCAGGCACATATATTTTTGTACTTTCTGTACCCCAGCTACTATTTGGGGAGGTTGAGCTTAGCTGGAGGAAGAGAGTTGTTGCAGGAATGAGCCTTAAGGGGTATAGGCCAATTCATTTTAATAATTAGAAAACTGAAGCTCACAGGAATTGTCATTCTCTCACATCAATAAAGAGCAAGGGGAAGTCAGAGTCCGCAGTTCGGTATTGTCTGACTAGAATGCATCAGACTGTCTCTCCACAGCACACATCTTAGAGTTAGGTCATCTGGTCATCAAAGTTAAAGAGTTTATCTATCAGAGGGGCTGGAGGGATGGCTCAGTGGTTAAGGGACTGGCTGCTCATGTGGAAGACCTGGGTTCAGTTCCTACGGCCCACAACAGGTAGCTCACAACCACTCCTAGCTCTGACTCCAGGGGATTGGATCCCTCTTCTCACATCCATGGGCACCTGCACTCATGTATATAAACCCACACATGTACACATACACATAATTAAAAATAATTTTAAAAATTATCTTATCAGAGACAAATTCTATGGAATACTACAGACTAAAACCTCTACAAGTTTGCCCACAATAGGATTCCACAGAAACAATGCTGAAGATATCTGCCATGAAAAAATTCACAGAAGACTCTCTAGTTCCATGTAACACATAGAAAGAGGGTTGTTTTTGGACAACACTGACTAAGCCATTATCTCAAGTCCCATATAATTAAGAAAACAACTGTATTTGAATATATGTATTCCTAACATTCATGCTTTGGTAGAGCCATAAAGTTCTAAGTCTTTATTCAAATGAAAATGTGATTCCCAAAGCATATCAATTATCTTCTCTGTCTGCAGTACTAATCTGAACAGATAGAGAGCTATACACCTTGAAGCTGGGTTTCTTTTAGGAGAGAAAAGAGAAGTAGGATTCATTTACAGTGCCCTTTACATTGCTGTTTAAATCCCACAACTAGTCAGAAAGTGAGCTGCAACACACTTCAGTTTGAAAATAAGCAAGTCAACGAGGCATTTTTTTCACAGCGGTATAGCAAGGCCCTACAGAGCAGGAAGCTCTACTGGAAGGGAGCACAGGAAGGCTCTGTTGGATGGCTTCCTGCTCTAGTAGTTTTGCAGGCTTCTTTGATTTGGAGTCGATAAAACTGAGGGAACTTCATTTGGTTAGGAGATTAAAATTTGTCTTTATATCTTTTCCATCTAGCATTTGTTAGTACAAAGTCTCTGCTTTCCCTGTTCTTCACCCCCACCCCACCCCCAGTCTCAGGCTGTACAATGCCAGGACATCTAGGGAAAGGGGTATGCATCCCTTAGGAATGTACTGAACACAGCTGTGAACCTCTTTAAATATTAATCCCTAAAAAGTAGACAAAATATCCAAAAGTATTTTTCTTATTTAAAAAAATTCAGGAAGATCAAGAAAATACTATACTGTGTTGCAGAAGAGATGACTAATCAAAAGAAAGGAAACCCAGAAAGTCATACGCCAATGTGCACCTACAGAAGGGATTATCCTACAAACATACTGGACAAGATAAACCCATGGAACTGAATCATGAACATTAATTTGAAGACACAAGCCTAGTTTTTCTTCCTCAATACAGATTAAATCTATGGATGCTCAAACACTTAACAACAGATGGAAAACGAACAAACAGATGGCTAGAAGGATTTCTAAGATGGCCAAGGAAAAAACAGCTCCATAATCATAAAATCTCTACATTATATATTACCACACCCCTCATATTTCCTATGGTTGTTTCAATAAACTGACATACAAAATCACCACAAGTCCCATCAATTTTCTACCAGCTCATCTACAAAATGGCCAGTGCCCCATCGAGCTCCTGAAAGAGCTTCAGTAGATCACTGCCTAGTTCCCAGAAGCCCCTCCAGTCGGCAATGGCAGTTAATTAACAACGTCTACATTTGTGGCTCTGCAGAGCGTAGGTTTGGTGTTAGTGGATGGCTTGAGCTTCTGCATGGCTGTACTGAGGTTCCCTCCTTGTCCACAACCTATTATTTGCCCTTTCTCAAGGCTGTTGTAGATCAGCTGAGATGACGGATGCAAGAGAACTTTAGCAACACAAAACACTATGCAAATGTGAGAAATATTATTATTTTCATTTCCAAACAAATGAAGACTTAGCTTTCATCCATTTCCAACATGTTCCTCAACAGGCACTGGGCCACAGCCAAGAAAGCAGCCTGCTAAAAGTGCATAACCCTTTGCAAATCACAGTTGGGATAAGACAGTGACAGGCAATTAACCAAGCAGCTGTATGTGTCTGGGAAGACATGAAAGATATACCAAAAGGAAAGCAGACTTCAGTACTCCACTATAGTTTCCCAAAGAGACAAGGTAGAACAATAGTCCTGTGTTCCTCAGTGGGCACTGAGTGCTGAGGTTGACAAAGAATTCAAAGGGAGCCCAGAATCCCAGAAGCACCAGCAACTTCCAAAGCCCCATAGCAGAATCCCTCTCAGACCTGCCAATTTCTAAAAAGCTGGCAATTATCAATGCATCTAAGTATATAATTTCTCACTTTTAGATAACAGTTCTGCAATGACAGACTAAACTCTGAATGAGTTAAATTCATCATTCAGTTTATGTTATTAAGTATCCAATGAGAAAGATTTAAAAAAACAGGTATATGCATGATAAAAGAACTCATTTAGTGATGGTTTGACAGCAAACTAGTGATAAGAAAGAAGCTGAATGCAAGAAATAAAATAAATAAAAAAATGCAAACCTAAATTCCCTTCTGGCACTTTGATTAAAATGAAATGAACTGAAGCAGTCAAAGAGATTATTTTATTCAGATGAGTGTTATTAGCCTTTCTGGCTTATTTTCTTTATTATGCATTTTGCTGATGCTGACAGAAACAGGCAACCTCGATAGAGGAAAAGCTGCAGCGGATTTGTGGTCTGACAGCGCTGTGCATAAAATCAGACCCTTGCTGACCCAGATAAGCCAGAGGATGGATTGGATTTGCTAGGGAAGGTGTTAAAAAAGGAGAGAATTTAAAAATCAAATCACCAAGGCAGAAACTGATTTAAAAAGATTCTGCCTATAATGGTAGCTGCCAGTTGTGTGTCACAGTAGTACAGTGGCAGCCTGAAGGTACCTTTCAAAGACAAGCGGGCAGACAGGGGGTGGGCACATTTCTCTGGATTTATCACAGCTGTGGCTTCAGCTCTGCCAACAATGAGATCAGAGTAGGAAAGCTCAGAGACAGGAACAGAGAAGTACCAAAAGCAAAACCAATATACATTATGTGAAGAAAGAAGCTTTCAAAATTTCAAGTTAGAGCCACATACTTGCCTAGACAGATGATTAGAAAGGATTCAATAAGCTGTCTACGTGTCTTAAAACAATCTAACTGCCCCCTGTAATCTGGCTTGGGGAAAGAGCTAGAGCAAATGGGATTCTTGTAGCTCTGGAGTATTCCCATGGAGCTTAGCTATAACCTTGGGAGAGAGGCATACTTTCCTTTCCCTCCTTCCAAACTAGGAATCTGCTTTGAAGTAGACAACCACTCCACAGTACTTTGACCTCAGGGGAGAGGAGACAGCTGGAGGCTCTTCCCATCATCCAAGACAGTTCAGTGGGTACCCTGAGAACAAACAGGAGGTCTACTCCAAACCCATCTCTGCCATCCCCAGCTCTTGCCTAGATTTCTGACATCTTATTTCTGGTTCCTTCTGAGTTTCCAATCTCTTTTTATTTCATTCATTCACTCAACAAAAAATCAGTAGTTAGCTATGTGCCAAAGCCTGTTCTGTGGACTAGGGCTAAAAAAGGTTCATCATTCTTGTTTCTTATATCAATCCATATTTGTGGACTTCTGAGAACTAAAACATGGCTTCTTCCTCCTAAACTGTCCTTGTGGGTGAAACCCTCATCTTGTTTATATTGATCTTGCTGTTTGTGTATATATAAAAGAGCCCATTGAAAAACCCCCATTTGACTAAATTAGAAGGTCTGTCTTTTGACAGCTTTCTTTATGACTTCTGCAGACCTGGAGTCTTCCCCTTCTTTACCCTACTCTCCTTGTATACTATAGATATGATCTAAATACTGGTGAACATAAACTATGAACTCAACTTCTGTCATTTGAACGTTAAACATACCTCTCTCAAGGCACACCAAAATAATCAATGATCAATACTATACATAGTTTATTACTACAATCCTAGAATTTGGAGGGTAGAGGCAGGAAAAATTGCTGCCAAGTTCCAGGTTAGCTAGAACTATACAATGATACCCTGACTCAAAAAATATAGTGACCCATCAAAAGGCCTGAAGAATAGTCAACAGAATTAAAATATAGCAAGAAAAAGATACAGTAAAGATATGAACAATGACCAAAGACACAAAGTCATTTGGTTTCTCAACTGAAAAAGTTTATAATCATTGCTATTGAATTTTCAGTTGGATCCACATGTTCTCTACAGGAAAATCTGTGAACAATTATACAATTATATCTTTAGTTTTTCCCTCTCTAGTTAATTAAGATGTCACCAGAAGCCTTGTAAGTACTGACAACTATATAGAGAAAATCGCAGGTGTGTTAGCGGATTTTTAAAATAAATAAAACCTTGGAAGATGGTTGAGACACACTGCCTGGCTCAGTTCTGGTCATTCATGCTAGAGAAAAAATACCTACAAGTACCAAAATACAATGGCATCATTCTGAAATTCACACACTGTTTCAAATCATCAAACGCTCCCTTTAGGAGCAGACATCTTCCAGGCACCAGACACAAGTACAGAAATTTGATATATAGCCAGTAAGTTACTAATTTCCAGCCAGAAGGAGTTAC